AGAAATTTTTTCCTGGATAGAGGCATGGTTGACAAATAGGCAGCAGAGAGTTTGCATAAATGGGGAGAAATCAGAGTGGGGAAGCGTCACGAGCGGTGTTCCACAGGGGTCAGTGTTGGGCCCCCTGCTGCTCACAATCTACATAAACGACATAGATGAGGGCATAAAGAGCGACATCGGCAAGTTTGCCGATGACACCAAAATAGGCCGTCGAATTCATTCTGACGAGGACATTCGAGCACTCCAGGAAGATTTGAATAGACTGATGCAGTGGTCGGAGAAGTGGCAGATGCAGTTTAATATAGACAAATGCAAAGTTCTAAATGTTGGACAGGACAATAACCATGCCACATATAAACTAAATAATGTAGATCTTAATATTACGGATTGCGAAAAAGATTTAGGAGTTCTGGTTAGCAGTAATCTGAAACCAAGACAACAGTGCATAAGTGTTCGCAATAAAGCTAATAGAATCCTTGGCTTCATATCAAGAAGCATAAATAATAGGAGTCCTCAGGTTGTTCTTCAACTCTATACATCCTTGGTTAGGCCTCATTTAGATTATGCTGCACAGTTTTGGTCACCGTATTACAGAATGGATATAAATTCTCTGGAAAATGTACAAAGGAGGATGACAAAGATGATCCCATGTATCAGAAACCTTCCCTATGAGGATAGACTAAGGGCCCTGAAACTGCACTCTCTAGAAAGACGTAGAATTAGGGGGGATATGATTGAGGTGTATAAATGGAAGACAGGAATAAATAAAGGGGATGTAAATAGTGTGCTGAAAATATCTAGCCTAGACAGGACTCGCAGCAATGGTTTTAAGTTGGAAAAATTCAGATTCAGGAGGGATATAGGAAAGTACTGGTTTGGTAATAGAGTTGTGGATGAGTGGAACAAACTCCCAAGTACCGTTATAGAGGCCAGAACGTTGTGTAGCTTTAAAAATAGGTTGGATAAATACATGAGTAGATGTGGGTGGGTGTGAGTTAGACCTGATAGCTTGTGCTACCAGGTCGGTTGCCGTGTTCCTCCCTTAAGTCAATGTGACCTGACCTGACTAGGTTGGGTGCATTGGCTTAAGCCGGTAGGAGACTTGGACCTGCCTCGCATGGGCCAGTAGGCCTTCTGCAGTGTTCCTTCGTTCTTATGTTCTTATGTCCTTGGTCACCACCAGACGGTCGACCTTGATTATAATTACCTAACTGAGTTTGTGTGTATTGTGTGTATCTCGAGTCATTACATCTTATTAGACGCTTTATATAATTTCAGCTTCTACTATATTGGAAGAGACACTTCCGTCCATTTTTTTTAATTACGAATGTTAGATACACCGCAGTGCAACAATATCTTTCGTTCAACATTCGAGCAACAGATAGGGCATAAGACTGTAAAAGCCAACCAGGTCAGGAATACGCATTGAGGCTTTTCTGTTAATGGCCTCCACTTTCTCTGTTATAGGTTTGAGTACCTCCAGCTAGCCCGAAGTTTTCTTACGCATTGACAGTTCGCCCTGGATATGACTTCCAGCAAGACTAGAGTTTCTAGAAAAAAAATGGCAAAATAAATTTCTCCCTGGAACCACAAGAGCTCTGACGTTGAAAATGTTCCCTTAAGTCCCTCTGTCATATGATCACCCTCGAACTGTTGCCTCTCATATAAAACAGTTTTTCTTTGTCCACCCTGTCTATTTCTCTTGAGTATTTTGTATGTCATTATCTCTTAACATCTTTCTTTTATCTTTTAGCGGTCTGGTTCTCCATTTGTGGCGGTCTTCATGGTATTTGTTTCTCGGCTCTGGTATTAGCCTTATTCAAATCTTTCCATCTTTCTTCTTCATGTATTCTATTAGCTATAAACTCTACGGCGGTTCTGCTTACTCGAGGATTGGCCAGACGTATCTTGTGTACATAACACGATTGTAAACACACTACTGGCCTGGTTGCTTTAAGATTAGCTTGCCATAGGTTCGAGTCCCACACGTTCTGTGATTTGATTATATCTTGTGTAAATTACTTTGAGTGCTTCCTTATCTAAATTCCTGAATGCCACTTATATATATTTCCAAAGTTTTGCATTTGCCACCAAAGTAATTATTTTGATATGAGATTTTAGTGAGAGGTATGATGTCAACGCCTAGATTTTTTATTTTCGATTTTTGTGAACAAAGACTTCTAGGACTCCAGGTCTTCGGTGAGATTATTTACATATTTTAAGAACAGTTTGGGTCCAAAGACTAATAATTGAGGGCCCCCGCTGGTTACGCTCGCCCATTTATATACTTCGTTTCTTTCCTTGAGATTCCCCTCTGTTTCCTGTTGTTTAGGTATCCCATTGTCCATTTGCTTATCCTGTATATTACTGTTGACTGCCTCTTTAGTGTATTTATTTTTTTTTATAGAGGAATATGAACTACTTTCTTGTGTGTGTGTGTGTGTGTGTGTGTGTGTGTGTGTGTGTGTGTGTGTGTGTGTGTGTGTGTGTGTGTGTATGTATGTGTGTGTGAGGAGAGGATGAGCTGTGTGATTATCTGGGTGACATTGAACGTCATTATTCTGTCAGATTCACCGATTCGTGACGTATAATTTAAACATTGTTAGAGACTTGATTCACTAATTATAAACATGATTCACCGTCACCACCTTGTTGGGTTTAACCACAGAACTACCACATGAATCACATGTATTACCACACAGGACAATATTTACGATATGTAACGAAGGATATACGCATTCACTCAGTGAATTTTCCCATGATTAACTAACGTTTTACTCAGTAAATTCACCCATTAATAACCAATAAATAAAGCAGTGTGACAGTCGTTGAGTAACTCACTGTAGAAGTCACATGCAGCAGCTGCTCCCATTTTATTGTCGATTTGTTCTTTGTTGAAAAATTTATCCCTCGGGGATAATTTTATTAACTGGGAAGTCAAGTTAATACTGAGCCTATTAGCACCTACTCAGTATCTCAAAATATTATTATTTTATTCTCGAGAAAACGCTAAGCCCCTCGGGGTCATACAGCACCTTGGGAATGGGAGATAATCAGGTTTAGTCAGAGGATGAGGAGGATAACTCCAGTTTCTTGGATTAACCCTTAAACTGGCCAAACGTAGATCTACGTTTTTTTCAACATTTGAAAGTATGTAAAAAAGTAGATCTTCTTTTCTTTTTTTACATTTGAAAACGTGTAAAAAAATTTTGATCTACGTTTTTTATTGTTATATTTGAAAATATGTAAAAAAAACGTAGATCTACTTTTGGAGCACTACGCATGTGAACATATATCTGCTTGGACAGTTTAAGGGTTAAAAGCCCTTCAGCATTGGTCATGAAAACAATCCCGGGTGTTTGTCATAATGTGAGGTGTTTAGCGGTGCCGGCAATGTGACGGTGGCACTGTATGATGGAAGCTGCATGGCAGTGTCTCCCAGGACAAATGAAGGTGGTGTATGCAATAGTTGTGCGGTACACCACGACAGCAGTGACCACTGGCTTACCAGTGTTGGAATCGGTGATGATGTGGTGGGCGTATGCGTGGGCGTGGTGAGAGAAGTCCATACTACACCTGTCTAATGCTCCGGAAATGCCTCTGTCCCGCCTCTGCCCTCGCTTTTTTCCCCTCCTCTCTCAACCCCTCCCGCACCCCTCTTGTTACCTCCAGTCTAACCCACTCTAACTACCAACTGGGTAGGCAAACCATGGATTGTATATATATCAATGTATATACACCGAGACCAAGGAAGTAGTGGGTTGATAGACAATCATCCAGGGAGGTACTGTCCTCTTAGACGAGTGTGTAACAGAAGCCTGTTAAATATTTTGCACTCAAGCAGAATTGCTTTTCTTGTTCTTTCAGTCTCATAAACAAGGAAGACGAATGATAAATCCCAGGCTTCTCCTTATATTCAATACACAATACTCTCATACATTCATACATACACCACATTATTTTCTTTCTAATTTATAAAATCTGGTGTCACACCGTGCTGCAGGAAAGAGGATCACAAGCACTAGATGTATTCAATATATATATATATATATATATATATAATATATATATATATATAATATATATATATATATATATATATATATATATATATATATATATATATACAAAACAACCACTGTGAAAGAATAATGAAATTCCAAGCGCTGTCTAGTTGGGCCAGCGAGCCTGCAGCAGTGTTCTCTTTCTTATGAGTCGTACGTCAGGTGTTGCTTTGTTGTAGGATGTGATGGTGAGGTGTGGTCTAGACCCTTTATATGCCTTCCTTTGATGCACTACTTTTATTGTTCCTTGATATTGTGAGTAGTCACGAAAGCGCTTGGAATTTCATTATCCTTTCACAGTGGTTGTTTTGCATATTCTGGAACCACATTGCAGAAGGCCAGTAGGCCTTCTAAGTGTGTGTGTGTGTATGTGTATGTTTGTACTTAGGTATACATGAACACTTTTGCGTACGTAGGCATGTATATATGTATATTTTTTATTTATGTATGCAGATTATACTAGTGCATATATATATGTGTGCAAATGTATACTTGTGTGCGGTGTACTGTGTACATATATATGCTTATGCATGTATAACCTTGTGCATATGTATGAGTATGCAGATGTATGAATGTGTATATTTATGAATGCTTGTTTGTGCACTTGTATATTTATTAGTATATGAGTATGTATGCATGTATATATATTGCTGTGTGTATGTGTATATCTGCAGTGTGATATTGTCAAAGCTAACCAATAAATTGGAAATGAAAGGCAGACGTTTCAGTAGGTCTTCAATAAATTTTTAGTTAATTGTGAAATGGGATTCTCATTCTCTCTCTCTCTCTCTCTCTCTCTCTCTCTCTCTCTCTCTCTCTCTCTCTCTCTCTCTCTCCTCTCTCTCTCTCTCTCTCTCTCTCTCTCTCTATCTATATCTATCTATCTATCTATCTATCTCCTCATACCCTGGCACTAACCTTGCCCTGCTTCCACAGACGACCATCAGAGTGTTTGCCAAGTGTCTTCGCTCCGACATCGAATACAAGACAATCTCTGTAAGTGCGCGAGCGACGTGCCGCGAGGTGGTTGCGCTGCTCCTCTCCAAGTACCGCATGCGTCACCGCGACCCCAACCTCTTCTACCTCACTATGGAAGTCACCGTCCGCAGGTCAGTCAGTCAACCTCTGTAGGTGATCATTCTGTTTTTCATTTGTTGTGTAAAAACCCTGCCATCACATCTTAGTATGATCTTTTATTTTATTTTTTTACGAGGCCAGTGGAAGGCCTCCGTCATATGAAGAAAAGCTCCATTAAATCGGTCTAAATATTACTTAGGACTCGCCTTAAGAGGAATTTACATATTTCTCCTGACAATCTTTGGTGATGAAGGTGTTTTGTTGGTCAGGAAACAGGACAAGTGTCACCAGACACGAGTTTCTCTTCGATGGTACCTTGGTGTGAGGAGTGTCCTATATTTTCGTTGAGTTATTAGGCTTTAAATTTAGCTTATTTACTAAATGCAGGTTATTAAGGGTGCATAACACTTGTACAGCAACACTTAAGGATTCTTTATTTCCTAAAATGGGAATTACAGTAAGCTTAGCTTGTCTTCCCCTGAAAGATACACATCACTCGGTGCCACCGAATGAGACGTAGGTGACCTGTGAACTATGGAAGGAAGATAAATACGAGTGTTTACATTGAGTGTGCGTTGGCAGGTGGTCGGGCGCCCCGGTGCGGTCACTGCTGGTGCTGGAGGATGGTGCTCGCCCCGCCCAGCTGGCTCTATGCAGACCACTGGGTGACTCCAGGTTCGCACTCCAGATGCGTCGAGGAGGAGTCATCAAGGTCCACGACACTGTCCTCATGCCTGGGGTGAGTGTGGTGCGCCCTCCCCCCCCCCTCTCTCTCTCTCTCTCTCTCTCTCTCTCTGTATAATATATATATATATAATTATATATATATATATATATATATATATATATATATATATATATAATATATATATATATATATATATATATATGCAATAAGATCACAGTAAACAGGTGATTTCAGAATATGCAAAACAACCACTCTGAAAAAATAGAGAAATTCCAAGCGCTTTCGTGACTACTCACATTATCAAGGAACTATCAACTATCATAGTTCCTTGATAATGTGAGTAGTCACGAAAGCGCTTGGAATTTCTCTATTTTTTCAGAGTGGTTGTTTTGCATATATATTATATATATATATATATATATATATATATATATATATATATATATATATATAATATATATATATATATATATATATATATATATATATATATATATATATATATATATATATATATATATATATATTTATATACGTATATATATATATATATATATATATATATATATATATATATATATATATATATATATATATATATATATATATATATATATATATATATATATATATATATATATATATATATTATATATATATATATATATATAATATATAGTATATATATATATATATATATATATATATATATATATATATATATATATATATATATATATATATATATATACGTATATATATATATATATATAATATAGGGAGGTACCACCTCTAAAACTGTTATAGGGAGACGACCGACTTGTTGAAAATATATATATATATATATATATATAATATATATATATATATATATATATATATATTATATATATATATATATATATATATATATATATATATATATTATATCTTTGATCTTTATTCTTCTTTTTATCTTATTTTTCATTTGTTCTAAATTCAAATTATTTTATATTTAAAAAAACTTAAAAATGACATTCAACACTATTCACAACATATTTCCAGGTATATAATATATATATATATATATATATATATATATATATATATATATATATATATATATATATATATATATAATACTCGTGCCGAATAGGTAAAACTGGTCAATTAGCAAGAACTCGTTTAAAATTCAGTCCTTTCTAAAATTTTCTCTTATACGTTTATTGATATATATTTTTATTTATGTTAGTGTAAAAATTAATAATTTTGTACCAAAAGAACCTTAGAAAACCTACCTAACTTTATTATAACAAGCGCAATTTAATTTAGCCTAATCCAACTAAATATATTTTAGATAAGTTTACAAATTTAATAATAAACAAACACAGTGAAATATATTTTTTCGATAGGTTCAGAATGATTTTTGCGAAATTATTGCATACACAAATTTTTGCTTGCTTTATTCGTAAGTTTTACCTATTCGGCACATATATATATTGGCAACAAGAGGCTAGTAACCCCAACTTTTGTATAAATTTCTAAATGTAAAAAGAAAACTTTTTTTTTTTTTTGGGGTCACCCTGCCTCAGTGGGAGACAACAGTGAGAGCCGCAACTCTCACCACTAAACTATGGTAGTTGATATTCGAACTCCTGTAGTAATGTATGGAAACAGCGTATTAATGGTGATGTTTGGGTTGACAGTCTCAGTACAAGTCACTGCTGGTATCGGAGAGAACCACAGCCGAGGATGTGGTACAGCTGCTGCTCAACTGCTACAACAGGCGAGACAACAAGTACTACTACGCCATTCACGAGGTATTGCCCTTAGTAGTTTCCTAGGTTTAAAGCATTCAGAAAGTCTCTTGAACAGGGACAAGAAAAGAAGTAGGACAAGGAAAACATAAAAGAAAAGGGGATAGGTAAACAGTAAAGGAATAGGAAAAAGAGAGGAAGAGAAAAGGAGGGAATGCATGGGAAAAGGAAAAAGGAGGGGAAGAGGAAATGGGAGAAGAAAAAAAGGGAGAGAAAGTGGAGAACAGAGATGAAAGGAAGTGGAAAAAGGAGAGGAAGACAAAAATTGAGAGGAAAAGGAAAAGGGAGAGGAAAGAAAAAATCATGTTCAACTATTATGTTAAACAGAGGTCAGGAGTCACCTGAGAAAAATTAGGGTTAATTAAAGAGCTCCAGCAGGTCATGTAAGTGTAGATTATCTCCTGTGACTGATCACTCTTGTAATTCGAATCACTTTAATGATAGGAATTAACTATCAGTGGTATAACTATGACCCATACGAGTTTAGCACGTAATTTGATCATTATCATTACTTTTTATTAACGTATTATTATTATTATTATTATTATATTATTATTATAAGTGATATACGGTAGAATTGGGAGAGTGAATTGACAGTGAGGAATGGTTTAAACAATCTCAGGTTAGAATGACCTGGCACCATTATGGATGAGGCGGATATACTATTATAAAGCTATTATGAATAGCAAAAACAAGTGTGGTGTGTGTTTCAAGACACTGGAGCGGGCCACGGGGGGTGGTGACCCCCCTGGACTATGAACAAGTATTGGTGGGTTCGGAAAACAATGAGTTTTCACTGAACACAGTCACGTTACTGAAAATTACATGATAAATTTCCATGTCCAATATATGAAATATTATTTTTTCTAGGTATTATTATTGGTTACATGATGTTAGTATAAAAATTTTTTACCACCAGAATTAATGAAAAAAAAATGAAAGTTTCTCAATAATAAATTTACAGGTTTTGTGTATGCGAAAGTTTTACCTAAGCATTTTTAATTAAGTGCATCGATAAAATGTTATGATTTACATTATGTTTAAATGTACTTTTTTCCCCTTTCCCTTCCCTCTCTCATCTCGGTAATATATTATTGGTCACCTTTCTCACCTGCACACTTCTGATTTCCGGATGCATATAAATACTTCATGACTTGTCTTTTTTCTATGTTTGTCGCCCTATATAGTATTCAAAGTGTACTCACCTAATTGTGGTTGCAGGGGTTGATTCATAGCTCCTGGAACCGCCTCTTCACTGGTCATGTGTGTGGGGGGGTTATCACGTATTGGCTGCTACATTGTATTCCTTGAAGCTCTAAGCCCACATGGATCATTACATTTGGTACCTGGGTCCTCGTTTAGCCAGTATGCCTTTTTGGCCAGTGAACAAATTTTTAAAGTTTGATTATATAAAAAAATCAGTTTGCTATTTCATTATTAATTTTAAAATTTCCTGGAAATTATAATAATCATATCTTGGATATTTTCCATTTTTTTTAGTTAGAATCAGAGGCAAAGCATTAATATTTATGTAAGAAGGAGATCGGAGCAACAGTGAGAGTCAGTCACTTCCCTGAGACTTTGTAAGACATCTGATTAGAATTAATGTCATTATCATGGTATTAATAACTCAACATATCTGCCTAAACACTGTTGGGTCGACAGGTCAAGACCTTACAGTTTCTCCCTCGTGCAGTATTCATGTATCAAGAACAATAAACGTACTGTATGTTACGAAATTAAAATAAAATTAAACTTTAAAAATATCCTATTGCAGCCAATATATTAATTTTGGCTGTAATAAGCAATATATTAACGATGGCTGCAATATTAATTATCTGCGTGTATGGCAGGTTCGTCGTAGCCCCAATTATAGTGACCGGATGATCCTGCCAGAGGAGCTGCCACTGGAGGTGAAAAATAAGTGGCCACGGGACCGCCAGGCTGAGTTTGTCTTCGTCCTGAGGAGGAACATGTCTCAAGCTCTCTCACTTCGCAGGGTCAGTGCTTACACTCTAATGTCTCAGAGCTAGCATACTAATTGCTTAATTCATTATTTTTTCAAACATGTAGGATTTGTAGCTAGTTTGCAGTAACACAGTTCTCACCCAGCTGTTGGTGAGGGCGGACGCAGAGCGTGTGGCTGGTGCCCTCTGGTGTTTGTATTGAGAAGTTTTGTTTTCTCAAGATGGCGGAGCGCAGAAGAAGAGTCAACACTGTCTGTGTGGAATTGTTGAAAGGTGCAATATACCAGGACACCGCTGACGTCATTCTGCCTCTTGTAATAAGAGATACATATGGAATCCCACGTGAGGATTTATATGGGATTTCTTTGAACGGCAACGCGAGAATTTTTGTGAAATTTGTGTCGTCTGCTGCGTATGTGAGTGTTGTGGATGCCTTTCAAGAAAAACGGATTGTCATCAACGCTAGTCTGGAGGTGCGCCTGCGTGATGTATCGGCAAGTTATACGTGGGTTCGTCTACGTAATATCCCCTTCGAGGCAGACGAGGTGGACATCCGTCGGACTTTTGGGCGCTATGGCACCGTACAAGCTGACCAAATTGGGCGTTGGTCCCAGGGTTTTTATGCTGGTATGCTCGCAGGTTCTTTTTCTATGAAAATAACATTGAGACATCCAATTCCCTCGTTTGTCAATTTGGAGGATTTTCAGACGCAGGTCTACGTAACCTACCCAGGCCAGGTTCGGACGTGCCGACTGTGTGGTGCAACGGGTCATATGGCGGCGTCTTGTGAGCACCGACGAGGGAAACAACGATCGGACCTGACAGACACTGCATCCAAAGATACGATGGAGGAGGATGAGCTGGCCCATCAGAAGCCCACAATGGTGGACGACGTGCTGCAGGTTTTACCAGCGGATGTAAAGTGGGGTGAAGCAGTGGATGCTGCAGAGGGGATCGTCTCGACGCTACCTCCGGCGTCGGAGATCGAGGCGATTGGGTGCGTGAACAGTGCGTCACCTCCGGTGGAAGAGGAGGCACAAACGCCATTGATATTGCCCAGTTTTGAAGACTTACAGAGGATCCTCGATAGCCCGGCGACAGAGGGTTTACCGCCTACATTGGCGGTGTCGCCTGTGGTCGACCATGGTCTAGCAGGACGTGTGGGCGGTGAGGAAAGGCGTACGACTTTTACGTCTGTGGTGGTGACGGACGTCGAGGTACATAGAACGGACAGTGATGGGCTTATGGACTACGAGGGAGTGTCACGTAAGAGGCCCAGTACACATGTGGAGGACGATGTCTTAACACCGGGTCAAAGGTCTGGTAAAATGGTGTGGGCTGACGTAGCCAAGGGAGTTAAGGGACCCCCCTTAGAGAAGTTAAGTGGAAGTGTGGGGAAAATGGGCAGGTGCAGCAGTGGCAAGTCCAAGTCAGGTATAAAGGTGATGGGAAAACGAAATGAGAAAACCTAACCAGAGAGTTTAAGTGTATAACAATGAATGTCAATGGCCTCAGAGCAGAGGTCAAGAGACGTTGGGTAGAGGTATCGCTCAGACGTATGAATGTTGACGTTTTTTTTTTTACAGGAACACAATTTTCCGTGTGGTAGTGAATTACGTGTGCAAGGGTATAAGTGCTATGCGGGAAATTCGGATAATCTCAAGGGTGGGGTTGTGATAGGCATAAGGGAGACCAGCCCTTCTAAGCTCGTAGCATGGGAGTGGGGCGGAGGGGGCCGGGTTGTGTGTGTGGTGGGTTCGTGGGGGAACATTCAGGTGGGTTTCGTGGGAGTATATATGCCAGCGACAACAAATCGACGAGTAAAAGAGGATTTTGTACGTGATGTTTTGGTTTATTTTCTCAGAAGTCTACCCTTAGTTTCTGTCGTTGCAGGTGATTGGAATTGTGTGATCCGGGAGAAAGACGTCGAACCACGTGGTGGGGGGTGTAATTTAAGGGTTTTACGTGAGGTATTGCAGGCGATTGGTGTAGTGGATGTTGTGGGTAGCGACGGGTGGAATGTGGAACATACGTTTTGTAGAAGGGGTTACGCTGCGCGGTTGGACAGGGTTTATATCACCAACTTAATCCGTATGGCAGGGTCGATTGTTGTTGATCTGGGTTTCTCAGATCACCGTGGTGTTCTGGTAACACTCGAGTGGGAGGGCGCTATCCGTGTATTTACTAGTTATTGGAAATTAAATGTCAGCTTGTTGCAAGGAGTCGATGCTGTGGAAGCTTTCAGGTTATGGTGGGTTGACTTCTGGAATAACGGGAATGGGATAGAGGATGTTGTAGAGTGGTGGCATTCAAAGGCGAAACATGCAATACAGGGTTTTTATAGACGGTTAGGGAAGGAGGAGGCATGTTATAGATATGGGAAGCAAAAGTATTTAGAGGGACAGCTGCAGGATTGTTATGGTACAGGCGGGAGGTATGACCTAGCAGAAATAGAGTGCCTACATAGTCAATTACGGGAAATTCAGAATGATAAATTTCAGGCTTTGAGGGTGCGAGCTGGGATTGAGGAGGTGCTTTGGGGGGATAAACCCTCTATTGGGGTTCTGCGTAGTTTCAGAATGAGACGTATGGTGACGACAGTTTTGTCAGTAGTGGTCGGTGATGACTTGGGTGGTTATCATAAAGGACAAAGGCTAGTTACTACTGAGAGCATAGGGACCTATGCAGACCAATGGTTTGAGAGAAAATGGAAGGGTAGAGAGGGGAATCGAGAGGCGAGGGAAGCTTTACTGCATGGCATAGTGGCAAATTTGAGAGACGTGGATCGAGAGGACATGGAGGGTTGTATATCGGAGGAGGAGGTTTCCAAGGCTGTTCAGGGACAGGCAATGAGGAAATCACCTGGTTGGGATGGGATACCAGGTGATTTTTATGTAGTTCATTGGGAACTGTTAAAACACATGTTGGTTCGACTTTACAATTCAATGAAAACTAGAGGTAGCATGGGCGGTGAAGCGGGGTTGGGTGTTGTAGTATTGGTACCAAAGGCCGAGGTCTGCGAATCTTTGGAGGCATATAGGCCCATCATATTGATGGGGGCGGATTATAAGATCTTTGCGCGTATTTTGGCAAACCGGATGAAACGAGTTTTGGACAAGGTAATATGGGAAGGGCAATATGGGATTCCTGGCCGATCTATGAGAGATGGTCATCGACGCCTCAAAAGTTTCGTGAAAGATTGTAGTGGAGGCAGAGTCGTAGGATTGGATTGGGAAAAGGCTTTTGACAATGTGGATAGGGAAACATTATTAGCTATATTATTGAAGCAGGGTTTCGGGGAAGAAATAGTAGCGTGGGTACGCATGTTATATACAGAGGCACAGGTACGAGTCCAGGTCAATGGGAGGGTGGGGTCCACGATAGGCATGGGGTGGGGGCTGGGCCAGGGGTGTCCCCTCTTGCAGCTTTTGTTTGCCTGTTTGCAGGACCCCTTTTATAGATTGGTAATGGGTGGGGTAGGGGGGGAGGATTGTGCGCAGGAAGAAGCAGTAGAAATTTTAGGTTATGTGGACGATACCACCATCTTGGTGCATAGTAGGAATGGTTTAGCATTCATAAATAAGGTTATAAGGTTTTTTAGCGATGCGTCTTCCATGCGCATTAATAGAGAAAAATCCAAACTTTTGGAGGTGGGGTCCTGGGTGGGCGGGACGTTAGGTACGGAGTATGGGTGGAGAACCGTTGAGCGGATAAAGATCTGCGGTGTGCATTTTTGCAATGACGAACAGGCGGCGCGTGCATTTAATTCATCCATTGTAGTTACAGCTGCAATTCGTAGGATGGCGGGATGGAGACCAGGTGATGTAACATTACACCAAAGAGTAATAGTTGTCAATGTACTGGTGTATAGTAAATTATGGTTTGTTTCAGCGGTCTATCCATTGATGACGGACGATGTGTTGCGGTTACAGAGGAAGGCTTTGGATTTCATATGGGGTTACCGTAGGCATTGGTTAGGGAAAGACATAGTTATGACGCACGTAACTCGGGGAGGTTTGGGGCTAATACCACTACACAGTCGTCTAATGGGCATATATGTACGACAGGAATTCCTAACAAGGGGTGGGGTCAGGGGAGTGAGAGTTGATGCAGTGATGAGGGAGGTTCGACGATGGTGGGTGGGGAAGGACCTCACAAGGTGCGAAGCAATGTTACGGCACTTATTGATGGTGCAAAACCCTGTGAGAGTTAAGGCAGGTAAACTAGATAATATAGGTATAACATCGGCAGAAGTCATCGGTGCTGAGGTTTTCCCAGGATATCATTGGAAGACTATATGGCAGGGGTTCAAGAAATTGCGCTTACAACCACGGGTTAGGGAAACTGGTTACCATTTCCTCCACGGGATTTTGGCGTCCAATGCACAATTGTACATTATGGGAATGACCCAGGATCAGACCTGTGCGTGGTGTGGGTGGCCGGAAACGGCGTTTCATGTGGTATACTTTTGTGACAGTTTACATAAGGTTAGGGATTGGTTCAAGGGTGTTCGACGAGTGGGAGGGGGGGGGGGGTTTGTCGATGCTTAGAGTTTTGAGTCTTGAAATGGGAGATTGCTCGGATGCTGTACGACGTTCTGTGTCATATTTGGTACTTGACTATTTATATGTGTCGTGGGGTATGCGGGGGCTTAGGGGTGCAATGCGTGTCAAGGCACTGATGTGTCATGTGTATAGGACGAAATGTAGGAATAGAGAGGTATATGGGCAATGCTGGGAGGGAGCTTTTTCGTTGGGGTATAGGAATCTAACGATGGAAACGTTACGGGAGTAATGAGGTGGGGGTAGGTATAATCCCTTGGTGGAGCCTAGGGGTTGGTCTCCCGGGGGGGGGAAGAGAAGAGTTAGTTTTTTTTGGCGTCTGGACTATGTTTTATTTGGTGTGTATGGTGAATCTGGGTGTAATGTAGGGTGAAGGAAGGGAACCTTTGTGTGGTCTGGGGTATAGTGTCTTGCTGGCGTGTTTGAGTATCATAGTCTGAGAAAGGGGGGGGAGTGGTACTCAGAACCACGGTATGGTTTTCTTATGCTGAGTCATGCTGAACCACTAAGTCACCAACAGAGGCTAAGCCGTGTTTAATGTTTACGTTTTACAAAATTTTCTAATTTCCCAGGTTGGTGTTAGTTGCATATAGCGTGAATTGTTTGGAGTTTTGTATTGCAATTGTTTTTGAGATGTATTCTGTGTGCACCTGTTAGTACTGGTTTTACTAAGTCAGTACATAAGAGTCACAGCAATGTATTTAATGCGACCTGCGAGTCGTAAAGTGTGTGCTGGAAGATTTGTGTTTTAATTATTGGTATGGTGTGTAACGAGATGCTTTATATAGAAGTTTTAAGTGGGTAATAGTCTTAAAATGTTTGTTCAAAACACTTCTTTCCTATGTTGTGCTATACTTTATATGATGCGGTCTTCTTAGAGTGGTCCATTATTGTGCCAAGTACTGTATATACATGCCTATTGATATCTTACTGATGATATTGACTATTCCATTTTTGTTACAAGGTATGGATCGGTAGAAAGCACATTTAGTAGTAGGGAATAAATTGGTGGGGTGAAGTGGGATCCTGAAGGGGAGGGGGGGGGGGTTGATGGATGACTGCTTTAGGATAACCATAGTAAAAGTTTCTGTGTATTACGTCAGTTGTATTCTATTGTTTATGCCATGCATTATTGTAAGCAGTACGATTATTTCCTGTGTATTATGCAGACACAGATTTTTACAATATCGTGGATATTTTTTTTTTTTTTTGTAACCATGGTATAGCTTTGTTTTGCAGGGTAGCTCCATTATGTTTTGTTGATATTATACATTTTGGTCTGTATCCTAGGAATTGTGGGAAGGGGTTTTGCTTTTACACAGAATACTGATGTGTGTATGTAATATTGTTTGTTGGACAGCAGACCTGGAAACGCTTTCTCATTTTGATTTATATTTGTTGTATGGATTTTATTAATAAAATATAAAAAAAAGTTTGCAGTAACATAGCTTCATAATTTCACATTTTAACTTGAAATCCATAAATATTTTAAACTTGTCTGTGATATATTCGATTTGTATTAGTTATTTTTTAAGACTAGGAAATAACAATATTAAGACATCACTTACAAAGAATTCCTTTCTTTTAGCTCTCCTTGAGAACCAGTGATGTGAAGAGGCCGTCGACTGATGTGAACATAAAGGAGAACAATGTAAACAAGACTGAATTGGTGCCAGCACTGAGGGGCAAGCCAGACAACCAAGTACAAATCCTTATTTTGGAGGATGCAGTCATTGACTGCACAGACGTAACCCCTAAGATGACCACCATCAACAGGACAGCAACTGCCTCCTGCACAAGCACTTTAGAAGTCTTCAATGCTAAGACATCTGTAAGCGCCACTCGCTCTCGACCACTTCTCACAAAACCAATAAACGAACTTATGATGACTGCTTCTGGTGTATCAACTACAAGAGAGTCTTCGACGAACACAGAGGCTAAGACATGGTCCAACACTAGCACCCAGACGGTCGTGTCGAGGCAGGTACCCAGGTCATCTTCCCTCACTCGGGTCCAGCAACTTTCACGCGAGATCGATGCACAGAATCATGTGTCACAAAGTCTCACAACTAATGTCCCGAGACCATCTTCTGTTGAACCCAAAATTACAGTAACGACACCTGCTTTTAATGAGTTACACAGCGAACCAAACAAGACAACCACCAAAGATATTCAAAATGAAAAAAATTGTGTTTCACAAGACATTCTCAAAGACGAGCACAAACTTACGTCACAAAGTTCTAAATGTGAGACAGTTTGTGACACGTCCCTCTCTTCTAAGATTCAGGGAACGTCACCTGGACCTAGCTGCTCCAATGGATCAGCACCAGACAGACTTGAAGTCCAACATATATGTAAGCACAACTGTCAGCATTGCTTTTACATTTGAGAAAGGTAATCCTTGTGTACATACTGTATAGTTGTGCTATGTGCATTTCTCTGAAGTTGTAAATATGTTACCTTTGTATGTATTAAGCATTGCCATGACTGGCCCACAGCATTCATACTACATTTTGTCAACCATTGTTAAATTTGAGTTACAATGTTAATTTGAAGACAGTTGCTCTTTTTTTTATTTCACATAATGAAAAAATTATAGTTTTCTAATAGTTACCTGAATTTGATGCCTGTATGGATGATTGCTTTATGTATTATAGTACTGTCTGCATATATAGGCTAATGTAAAAAGATGTTTTATTTTTTTCAATAGTGAGAAGATATTGTATGTATATTGAGTATCAATTATTGTGTTAAGTTTTGAATATGTGCAGCAACACATATTCAAAACAAGTCTGTTCTGCCACATGTCTATGTCCACTGCATCATGTGTATGTGCCCACTGTCATGTATATGTGTGTGCTGCAATGTATGCGTGCCTACTGTCATGCGTACGTGTTTTCTCTCATGTATACGTGCTCACTGAGCCATGTGTATGTACACTGTCGTGTATATTTATTCACTGTCTTACTGGCTTGTATATATATATATATATATATATCCACTGTGTCATGTATGTTTCCTCTATATCACTGTATAGTGTCATGTGCATTATTCTACGCTCGCCTAAGCTTTAAATATAATGAACAGTTGGTACAGTTATTTATAGTAACTTCTACCAGAAAGGTTATAGTCTCTGTAAGCTGTCACAATATATTATAAAGTTGCAATAAAATAAAGGTGGTTTCAAGTGGTTTGCTGAAATTTATGTCGACGATGCGGCCTGTGTATATACGATATAGAATTTTCTCTGTAGCATTATGTATATCAATGCTAGAATATAATGACAGGTATGTTAATAAGACAATATGCGATTTTTTTTAACACGTCGGCCGTCTCCCACCTTTTGCCCCATCTACCTCTTACTCTTTAGCTATAACTAAATAATTATCAAATACATCTTGCCCCTCTATGAACATGCACATCCTGAAGTCTACCCATCAACGTTTTATCCACCAATACATAATCTAACAAACTACTTTCATATATCACGCTATATCACATCTTTTATATTTATTTATCCTTTTTTTCTTAAAATATGAGAGTTGTTCGTCTAGGAATTTTATCAATTTTCTTTTGAGAATTGATGGTCACTAGTAGACGAAACGTCTCGGTAAAATGACATAAATAGTATGTTGTGTCACGTTAACGAACTGTCAGATTGTGTTTATGGTACAACTATTAATCAACTATTATTCATCAGGTGGGGTCAGGGCTGGCGAGCGGCATGTGAATCTGTAAATTATTATATACATTCCTGACAGGTTGATGAGTAAAACTTGTGTATGCGCAGCAGACTGTCTCCAGTATGAAAGTCGTCTTTTTGACTGAAGTTTGCTGCTTAGTTGAAACGTTGTGGATCTGTGCTCCAGTTCCCCGAATTAAGCCTGAATGCCTTCCACATCACCCCCCCAGGCGCTCTATAATCCTCCGGGTTTAGTGCTTCCCCCTTGATTATAATAATAATAATGAAACGTTGTGGAAATTAAAGATACCCAAGTGTTGCACATGTATTGTGCTCTTCGGCATGTGAATCGTTTCCCCAGTCAGTGGCTTTCAGTGATACAATACCCAGAGCAAGAAGTAACCTGGATATTGTCTCATGAGTGACACCGAATATGTAAACGAGCCAAGCCAAGCCAAGGGTTGGCCATGTCTGGTATTGTGCTTTACCAGAACATACTCTTCTCTATCAGATAAGACAGTTTTCCTTTTAACATGTTTTTCATCTTCCTTACCCTCTTCTGCTGTATTCCCATCCTTAGTGAGGACACTAATCCACCCCGTCTCTGACGAATGCACTACTTTCTATTGCATCACTGTATCGCCCACTCAAGGTCAGAACTTTTCTATTATTGTAATTTAAATTTCACTTGAACTTTATTCCGTCTCTCCTGGATTCCAGAGGAGAGGATACATTGTTGCATGTGAAGGATTTGTGATCCAGAGAATGAGAATTACCTTTCCCTTGGACCAAATCTGCATATCTCCCATTTCTCAGATACTGTACGATTCTTGATGCTGGTGAAGGGCTTTTGATTCGAGGAATTGAAAGCTGCCTACCACTTCCCACAAACGTGATAGTAATTTCAGCACGACTGCATCCAAACCTTGGAAGCCTTAGTGGAATTCTCAGGACCACTGACGTCTCTGAACAGACCCCTCTGGAAAGGTACCTTGATGCTGGTGAATGGCTCTTGATCCAAGGAATTGGACTTTTTCTTCCGTTCCTTGGATCGAACCGGACTGCCTTTCATTCCCCAGAGATTTAGCTCTTTCCCCTAAAAATAATAATAATGTCTGATCAGATACAGAGCCGCATTTGGCGGATCGAGTCTACTACTACTTAAGCTGAGTGACCCACATGGGTTTAGCGCTTAACGAGATATAAAGTAAAATTTGACATTTTATTTTACATTTCATGTATACTACTCATCATCATCCTTCAGGGAAGGCTCTTGATCCAAGTTATTGGACCTGTCTTCCTCGTTGATCGAACCAGATTGCTTCCCATTCGCCAGGCAGTGTATAATCCCCTACAGGTTTAACTCTTCCCCATGACTATATTAATATACAGCTACCACTACTTTAGTGTCTGTAAATTCTTGCTAAAAAAATATTTTACCCACAAGTAAAATACTGTGACCCATGCGAGTTTAACGCTTATTTTAGTATAACAATATTTAACGCTAATAACTTTTCGTTTTATTTATTTAAAAAAACAAATGTTGCAATTTTTTTGGGTGAAAAGTGTGTTGTAGCGCCAATATGACGACATTTATTATTATTTATATTAAACCATAAACTCCTATTGGTTATTCAGTGCTTGGAAAATGGGAGGCAGTCAACTTTGATCCAAGGAAATGGAGAGAAGCTGAGTTTCTTTGAACGAGTTCCTCAGTGTTGGGTGTGATTGAGAATCTCGCCAACAGATGGCAGCATGATCAGGTACTGCTCAGGTGTGACTCAAGACAGCACATTATTATTATTATAATCAAGGGGAAGCGCTAAACCCGGAGGATTATACAGCGCCTGGGGGGGATGTGGAAGGCATTCAGGCTTAATTCGGGGAACTGGAGCACAGATCCAATTCCCTAAATCAAGAGCCCCTCACCAATTTCAAGGAACCTTCCTTGAGGGGGACAATAAGCACAACAACGTTTAATTCTATAAGTAATTTTATTTAAGTACAGGTACACGTAACGTAACTACAACTATCATACACAGTGTATATTACCTAGGATAACCAAAAAAAAAAGGGTCAAACGAAGTGACTTATTTCCATTGGGGCCCTTGTAAAATATTATATAAACCCTAAAAGTTAAAACAGCTAAGTAACTCAACTGTGTAGAACTTTGCCATGTTATAACTTGGGAAAGGTTTACACTGAGGTAATCGTCCCAGTAAGACTTATCTACAGAGTGTGTTTATCCCAGTAGGTCGGTGTTATTTTATTTTACACTGGACTACTGTCTAGTTTCCGTTACTTTATACAGTGAGGAGCGCCGCCGTATTTTGAGGTTGTCACTGACCGTTCTGCACTTCCTCAGTATTTTGTAAAAATTTGTGCAGTAAAAACAGTTATTAAGACTTACTAAGTGACAGTAGTGAACGTAAGAACATCAAGACTGGGACGGCTTTGGAATAACGGTAAGTTAGTTCAGATTTACGAAGCTTTTTCATTGAATATTCTTGAGGGAGGCTCTTGATTTAATGAATTACACTTTTTCAATTCCTTGAATCGAGCTTAAATGTCATCCATTCTCCAAAGTGCTGTATGACCCCATGAATTAATAGTAATAATACAGTGCGTAATATCACAATATATACAATAATTTGTTCTTTTTGCTTATAATATACAATAATTGAGTATAATAATGTCGGCTGCCCTATCGTTTAGCGAACACAATAAGACAAATGCTGTAAATGCTAGAAAGAAAAACGTTTAAAACGAGAAATAATGCCAATGGTGACGCTTAAATTTATTTGTACTCTCACCTAGAGTACTGTTGGGTGATATCAGAGCTGGAAACCTACAGAGAGGATTTACTGCCTGAATAGAACCAATAAGGCATTTAGACTACATCACTGGCAAGGCAATGTCTCCGAGAATTTGTGTTCTCTGTAGCACAGGAGATTGAGAAACCTAATAAATGCAGTACTCTTACATAATATGGTGGTTACATTCTTGTGGGCTCTTGATTTTAAGGAATTAAACGTGTCATATCTTTATATCGACATTAAATGTCATTCCATTCCCCAAGCCAATGTATGACCCCAACGAGTTTAGCGCTCTTCATGGAATTAATAGTAATAATTCAGTGAGCAAATAAAGGTATACAACAAGAGGAGTCTTTCCCCTCAAAGTATATATGCCAAAAATTAAATTCATATTTTAGTGAATCTAGCATTTTTTGTCTGGTGGTGAAAGGGTCACATGCAGCCTTAATGACCCGGGTGTAGACGATAGGCTTTACCTCCCCGTTAACCAACCATCCTTTTCTAGGACGATTCCTTCTCCGTTCATCTACTTCAAGGTAGAGAAGGGCAACTTTATGCTGTGTAAAGGTTTTTGATTCGAGGAATTGAAGCCACCCTCCCCTTTGATCAATCCTGATTACCCTACATTCCCAAGGTGTTATATGCTCCCTACAAATTTAGCGCTTTCTCGTGAATATAGAAATAATTATAAGAATTTTACATAAATGTTCATTGACATTTTCTAATGAAATTTCCTCGCCCAACTATTAAGTCTTTTGTTTTGTAATAAAAAGAGTATGGTAATTATTGAATGTTGGTCCTCGGTGTCTTTTGGTGATAATTTATATAGATTAAGATTGTCAACATTAAGTGAGTTCTACTATAAAGAAGTTTTATGTTGTACGATGGGGGGGGGAATAAAGTGAAGCCTAGCATAACGTAACGTTATTTAACATCGACAAAAATGAAATTGGAGTGTCTGTTTAAATTCAGTGATTGGCCAGTCGCAAATAAGATACTTTTTATTAGGAAAACCTTTCCTACAATGAGAGCTTGTCAACCCAATTGACAGAGTTCACATTGTGCGAAACCTTTCGTTAATAAAAATATTTTAGTGCTGCGCATGTCAATTTCATGAATTAGTGAAGGATTTACGGATCCAAATTTCTCTCCTTCCCTGGATCAAATCTGATTACCTCATTCCCCAGGTGCTGTATGACCTCCTACGAGTTCAGCGCTTCTCCGCGATAATAATAATAATTTTTTTAACAACGGTCGTCTTCCACCGTGGAAGGGTAACCCGAGAAAAGAGAAGCATTTTCACATCTCACATTCAGTCACTGTCTTGCCAAAAGGGTGCTGACATTACGGCTCATGGTTATTCCAGACTGCAACATCCCCACCCTCAGAGTGCAGGCATTATACTTAACACCATCAGGACTCGAGTCCGCTTAACCGATTTTCCTGAATCCCTTTATAAATATTACCCTGTTCACTCTAGGGCAGCAGATAGTCAAAAAAGGACCTGCCTCCGCTCCTGTCTAGCGTTCTCAATCAAGCCTGTTAGATACCTGTCCACGTCCCTAAGACTCGAAACTTCTCTTACTCCATCCTTTTCTGGGACGATTCCTTTTCCGTTCATCTACTTCAGATTTATACACACTCCTAGTCATCTTATTTTGCTTCATCTAAAGATTCAAAGCACCTCTACAATGCTTAGCTCTCTCACATATACTTTTGATAATATAGAAGTAATAATGAAATTTCTACCGCACAAATATTTTCTGCGGCGCGCATGATGGATAACCTACTGGATACATACAGTTTATCTGCATCTTAATATGAATTAAAGCGAGTGTACCGGGTCTGGAACCTTGTATCGTGGGCGGTGCTCCCTTTTAATGCTTGTCAGGAAAATTGATCATGAACACTAAAAAAAAAAAAAGCGTATGCCATGTTGAAATTTATGGTTGCAGCACCTT